AATTACTGCACTGGACACTGTGGACATCTCTGGGAACCGACGCCCCGGATCCACAAGACCAGATCAATCCTAACGGATTATGCGGACCGTTGACTAGGACCCGTGCGTGCAGAACCTGCCCTGTGGAAAGCCTAGTCGGAATAAGCTATTTTGTCTAGTTTTTTAACCAAACCTGGTTTTTCTAGACTTATTAACCAAAGAAATTGATGTTCTCATTTAGCCTACTAACCAAAGGAATTGGCTTTGGGATCTCTTACTTATGATCTTACTTTCTTTAATTCTCAATTGGAATTGTGACCTTTTTTACTACGATGTTTCACTTGAGCCTTATAAACTTTATTTTTGTACTTCATCGACCGAAGAAGCCTCACCAACCACCACACTGGAACCTCCAGCACACAAAGTGCCCTCCAGATTTCGGCCGTTCAGTGCATGCACCGCGGGTCTGGAGACAGCGGCCCTACCGGGCAAGAGACAAAGTGGCATCCGGCCCTACCGGGTATTGGATCCTGGCACCCTACCGGGTTGGCCAGGGGCAGAGTCGGAAGGTGCTCGCAGGAGCTCCCACTCCCGCCCAGAGGCATGTCAGAGACCGCTCGCTGACAGCCACTTTCCACAGCTTTTCCGCATTGGTTTTCTGTTGGTTTTTGTTGGTTGCTTTATTGTTGCACAATAAAGGAAAGGTATTTGCTCCCATTTTTGCTCCCTGCTTCTGTGTCATATCTGTTTTCCTTATCGAAAAAATATTCATTTTGTACCCGGTACCCTTCGCGTAAAGGTTACCCAAATGTAATTTACCTCCACCAATGTTAGCATATCCATTTTTACCGTTCCGGTTTCAAAAGAACGTTGGGCTAAGTGCGCAAACCACGTTGGGTCGGGGTGACCCAAACTTTTGGTACACTTGCAAAACTTGTTGCTGTTCCGGTATCACTGATGCAAAAAATATGAATGCTATCACACATAAGCAGGAGAAGTTGTACTATCTAATTATGTAAGAACTAGTAGACCCCGCGCAAACTGCGCGGAATGTGGCAGCGATGGTTAAATCATAAATTAATTCAAAACTCAAAAAGACAGGTACATTACCGTACATATATGCCGTATATCTACGTATCTGTATTTCCATAACTTTTTTTGTGCGAAACGTAACATTTTTCTGAACAGCGATCTTCTGGTATTACTTACATTCGCAGTACAGTGTCTATTTACTATTACACCCGGTGTGAATGTCTCCCCGTCCCGTCGGCTGCACTTACATTATGGTTAGAAGCTTGAGATAACGTTAAAAATTTAAGTTTTTCCCCCGGGAAACAGCACTTTTTTCTACAGGTTTGAGCTTTACCGGTAGCACTAATTCATCTTTTTCCAGATCATCCATCAAGAGAATTTTACTCAGTTGTTAAGTAGCAGCTTTGAACTTATTAAAAGCTTTGCAATTTTTTTACTTTATTATTTCCAAGCATTGTACGATTTTCAGATATCAGCCTTCCTTATAATTTACGATTAATTTGACTCAGTCAAACACCGCTGGTGCCCTTGTCGATACTCTTATCAATAGGCTTTTTAATACGTACATAATAATATTTCTCCACAATGCTTTGTATGAAGAAAACACACCAGCGAAATTACTACTAAGTAGGCTAAAGTAGCTAAGCACTTATTAACTTATTTGCCAAATTTCAATTCTAATTAAAATGTCAAATTTTTGTAAAAATTTCCCTTCAAAGTCAAATACTATAGTTGTACTCAAATTGTCTCGGTTGCCTAACTTGTTACTCCGCGGGCTTCGCTCCTGCCACAGCTCGGCGCCTTTTGCGGCTCGTTAATATTACAAACTGATAAAATACTTGGAGCTTCACAAAACCTTCTAGCGAATGTAACATTCGGCCCATGTTAACTGCAGCTATCCATTCAACGCCGTTGGCCACGCTAATTAGTATGTAATTTAATCCATGTATTCTGCTAAACGAAAGACGGTTTTAAATAATATGCAGGTTTCCCTAATGGTTGTTAAAGCTTCAGTTTTCGATAATCTACTCTGTGGGGTAGTGGCAGTGCATGCTCCCTGTGGCATGCTGGGTAAACACACCATAAAGGCATAAACTACTTACTCTAATCTCGAACTGCTTTTTCCCGTGAAATCAAAACGCTGAAAATAGCGCAAATTGGGCTGTTACAGGATTTGACGATTTAAAATTTTAGTACTCTGTATTTGCCATTTTTATTTTATTCTGCTCAAAGCCTCAAACGTACTAAAAAATTTCGGAAACAAAAGTGATTATAAAAGCCAGTTCGTGTGGTGGAGCTGATGTACCGTAGCGAGATATCGTACCCGCCCAAAGGAGCGCAGCAACTTTAAAACCGATCACCCGCTCTGTGTAGGGCGGCTACCTGAAAAATTGAGTTCGGAAATGAGAACCCCGACTGTTCCCCAAATTTTTGCACTGAGACTTCCACTTTCTTATCAGATCTTGATATTCCTCTATGACCATGCTTTAGAGGTGAAATCTATAAATTCAGGGCGTTCGACTAATATGTAGGGCTTAAAATTTCATCCATGGTAACGTTTTAGCTGATTCATCAAAAGATGTCTTGTTCTGCTGGCAATGGTGGGGGGATCGTTTTGCAGTGGTGCGTTCCCCACTTCTCCCATAGACTTTGCATGTAAGGTTTTTTAAACTTTTGTTATAAACCGTTTTCTTGCTTTGAAAACGGACTTTTGATGGCAATTATAGAAACTTAGGGCTATCAAATGGTATATAGCTATCGAAGTTTGGTTCAGTGTAGAGTCCTGGCGAACTGTATGGAAATGGAATTCTGAAAGTCTTATTCTTTTAATATATAAACATTACACTGGTACACAATCAGTAGACAAGAGGAAAAAATAAAATCGGGGCATCTTGTCGTAAACCGGATCTGCTTCTTTTGTGCGCGCTGTCCTCATTCAGTGACGAGAGAACAGCGAAGCTATCAGAAGCTACCTAGTTGCGCTGTCCTAACAGACGCTACAAGGATGTAACAACCGCATATGTGTGCCATGCAAGAAGAGAAGTAGTAAACACAGCGGTTGATGGTAGTACAAATAGCGGGCTCTCCTATTGGTCGGTTTAGCCTGAGTACCGCCCCCTATAGTCTAGGGTATACAAATAGCGGAATATGGTCTGTACACTGTACTGTATATACAAATAGCGTACAAATCAGTTTGGTCTGATGGTGTGTACGAACAGCGTACAGGCCATGTACTGTGTACAATAGCGTCAAGTCCATGTACTGTGTATAATAGCGTATTGGTCAATTTGAACCAAGTACCGCCCCCTTATATTCTAGGGTGTACAATAGCGTACTGGCCGTGTACAATGGCGTACGTACACTGTCTATGATAAGCCCCTTTCTTTTGTTTGATTTTCCCCACCCTTTTTTTATTCACTCAGAAAACAACATTCAGAGATTAGCAAATCGTTAAAAACAGCACTCCACTGATATCTGTAGGTAAATCGAAATAGCAGAAGTCATGCACAGAAAATGTCAGTATTACACATCAGTGCTACAAGGACAACAAGACACCACAGATTTTTCGTATTTCTTTTGCGTTTCCACAATGAAAGCCGCTCCTTTCGTCTCCGTAAGGTACGGGCATTCTGGATACCAACGCGCATGTTCCTCCCACGGTACATCAATTGCTTCCCAGTTGTGAATGCGTCCGCCGCAGTGAAAACAACGAACGCAATCACCATTTCCTTCATAGAAGAATCCAGCGTGTGCCATATCTCTTGGATGCTGCTGCTTGCTTACAGGCCATTCGGCATAACTGGCAAAACGTGTCTTGTATTCTTGCATTTCTGGCGCAGCGAAAACCAAATCATGTTGCGATCCGGATTCATCCTTGCCAGCAGCCATTGCTTGTGAGTTAGGACAATCCGGACGTTCAAACAGATGCCGATAGAAAGGCTTATACCGAGAATTTGGCCAATCTCCCATAACATGGCCGCAATACAAACACTGAATTTCGTCGTACACTCCCTTGTAAAAGAATCCATCGAACACCATTCGTGCTATGGAGTACTCAATACACATAGCCAGTTTACAAAGCTGTTGCAGCGGTTATTCACGTCTGACATGTCCATTTTCAGAGTTTGTTTGTCGTTTATCGCTGTAGCCTTTCGTAGGTGGATAGAAAACAACAAAAGCAGGCACACATCTGCCATCCTGCCATCCTGCTCAACTGTATGATTGTGAACACACACAACTTGATTTGGCGATCTTGCTGTCTGCACTCAACTGACGGTGTATGCATGGATGCTACAGGATTTAACTTGATCTCCAAATTCTTATTCAGTCTATAGGTATAATCAGATTCTTCCAAATCTGGAGTATACCATTCTGTTCGTACCATCCACTCTAAGAATTCCAAGTCGCGCTTGGTCAAAGTTATTCCCGTCTTTTTGCTTCCGTGCTTTCGCCTCATCCCGGTCCGGCGTGACCTTTGGAACCTGCTCGGGTATCGCTGGAACGGTTTGTACTACTTCGACGTGGTACTTCCGTTCGGGCTGCGATCATCACCTTACATATTTGAGCAGTTCGCCAAGGTTATCGACTGGGCAGTGCGCAGGAGGCGGTCTCAACTCAATGCTTCACTACGTGGATGATTACTTTGCTGGTAAGCCCGGTAGCGTCGACTGCAGCACGTTCATGAAAACCATGTCCCAAATATGCAGTGAGCTAGTCCCTTTGGCGGAAGACAAGACTGAAGGACCCGCTACTCAGCTGATATTCTTGGGCATCCTGATCGACTCTGTGAAACAAACCTCAGTCTTCCAACCGGAAAGCAGAATCAGATACAAGCGGCTCTTGAAGAATGGTCATCTCAGCGTTTCTGCACCCGGCAACAGCTTCAAAGTCTGCTGGGAGTCCTGCAGTTTGCATCGAAGTGCGTGCCAGCAAGTCGACTTTTTACTCGCCGCATGATCATGTTGTTATCGACTCACCGGAACAAAAAAATGATCCCACTAAACTCCGATTTCCACAAGGATCTGGACTGGTGGCGTGAGTTCCTGCCGACATGGAACGGCACTGCATGCTTTTTACAGCCGGACTGGACGCGGTCGGATGTGCTGCACCTGTACACGGACGCCTCAGCAACGCATGGCCTCGGCGCTTACTGTCAGGGGGCGTGGTTTCAGCTCCACTGGCCACCGTGGATAACTGAACTGCAGCCCTGCATTGAATATCTCGAGATGGTGCCGATACTGCTCTGCGTGATCGTCTGGGGAAGGAAGCTAGCGGGCATGAAAGTTGTCTTCCACTGCGACAATGCTGGCGCCATGCATGCATGGGAGAGTCTCAGATCAGTAAACCGCAGGGTGTTAGATATTATGCGTCGCCTGGTTAAAGCCGCGGCGGTCGCTGGCATGACGTTAACGCTTAAACACATTGCCGGAATTAACAATGAAATAGCTGATGCGCTCTCTCGTTTCCAGCAAAGGCGTTTCCGTCGGTTAGCGCCACAGGCGGAGCAACTGCCGGTGGACTGTCCCGACATCTTCCCGGACCTCAAGGCAGCCTTCTGCAACCCCAGAGCTGAACGAATTGCTGCAGGCTCATATCGCTGAGTCTACTCGGGCAACGTACAACACTGCCTTCAACCAGTTCAAACAGTACTGTGCGGCTAAATCGCAGCCATCCCCAGCGGCTACGCCGGGAACTGTTGCGGAATTTGTAGCGAAACTATATGCAGATGGTAAATGCTATCGGACGGCCACGGTTTACCTCGCCGGCATCCGGAATCATCACCGTGAAGTGAACGCAGTTAATCCCACAGACAACGACATCGTTTACCGCGCTCTTGAAGGCTACCGCCGGTTAGCAGCGCCACAGAAAGATCGGCGACTTCCGGTGACACTGTCGCACATGCGATATTTGAAAGACGCCTTAAGAGCGGCCGGCATATCAGAGTACGAACAGCTCCTGTACTGGACGACGTTCACATTCCTGTTCTTCGGCTTCTTCCGTATTGGAGAAATAACAGCAGCCGCCGCCAACCGTTTTGACCCAAAGCGGATTTTGTTATGGGGGACGTAATGGATGCTGGCCACCGCCTAACGGTGCAGCTGAAGGTCACAAAGACGGACCAGACGGGGAAGGTAGTTCTGTAGCGCTGACGGCGACTGGGCGTTCAGTCTGTCCCGTGCAGGCATACCGGAATTACCGTGCTCGCGTTTCCGAGCCTGCGAACGAGCAGCCGCTGTTGCAGCGCGAAGATGGCAAGTACGTCACGAGGGCAGATGTGGAGAAATGCCTCAGCCTCCTCCTCAAGAATCACCCCGAGAGAGAACGGTTCAACACACACAGTTTTCGTATCGGCGCGGCAACGACGGCCGCCGCCAATAACGTGCCTGACCACGCCATTCAACTGGCCGGACGCTGGCGGAGCAACTGTTACACCCGCTACATTCGCCACTCCGGGCCACCTGTGACACTGAATCCCTATCGGACCGGATAGATTGTTTGGGGGCAGTCGGGCGGAAGTGGGGATACCGGAGACTCGAACCGGTGAGGTCATCACCTGCACCTTCGATCTCGTGTATGCCGCCGCGCCGTCGACCTGTTCTTCCCGCAAACGCCCAACTCTGTCTGCCGTTCGAGTGTACGGAATTTCCACAAGAATTTAA